AAAACGGACGAGTGCATGGTGGAGACATTTGAAAGGACAAAACACAGAGATGACAAGATTAACGCGACTCAAAGCCAATTGAGATTAATTTGAGGGATACAGGACAACTAATAGAACAGTGGAACATACACCCATGTGCATTGTGGCTACAAATATATATAAATATATGTTACAAAGCAAAGTTATTATGCACCGCCTCAGAGAATTGTGGGTATGAATAATGAGATAAACTATCCACATGCATACTGGCTGTAATTATTGTGCGCTGTGCATTCCATTATAATTTGTGGCGAACTAGAACCCATATCTTTGAGAGAGGATCCTTGCCTATAACGTCTGGCAGTCCACCAGCATTGGTTAAAGCAAAAGCCTGACTGCTGATGAGATACGGTAAATCAAAACCCGCTCGGAGTTTCCGTGTATTGAACCAATTTTGCTGGAATGATGTACTCCCAGAAGGCCGTGTGATTGACGTGTCATTTTTCAGAGATATGACAAGGATATGCATTGCCTAAATAGTATCTATTGTCTGCTTATTAATTTCGTTAAATACTCACGCTGAGTTTCAGATATTAGAAGAAAGATTTGGATTTTTAAGGACAATTTTGGATGCTTACAGGTATTTGAGATGATTTACACGATGGAGCAACCGGTGATATTCCCATGGACTTGATGGCTTATCGGTGACTCCGCTTCTGCATAATAGGACGCAAGTTGACGTGACGGCACGCTAGTAACGGCACGACTTCCTGCGAGACTCGGCACAGGAGCAGCGACCAAAGGAGGGAACGCGCCAGAGAGGATGTCCACCGCTGAAACGTCGCGATGATGGAATCCGTTCTCGTGTTACGGAGTGGACCACTACGTCGTGGGATTGCGAGAGGTAGCAGGGCCTTCATCCAGCAGTGGATTGACCATTGCCGATGATGCTGGTAACTTTTTTTTGGGGGGTGTTAGCGCCTGGTTAAAAAAAAAAAAGCCTGTTGACGGTCACTCGTTTGGACACACACAGGCACTATTCACACATTCGCAGCCATACACGCGTTCGCACACGTGCGCGCACACGTGTGTGCACGCGTACACGCACGCACGTGTACGCGTGCGCACCCGTGAATGCAACACTCGCGTGTGACGTGCACGCGGAGGCGCGAGAGAAAATTATTAAAATGCGCGGGACGGAGGGGGGGGAAAAGAATAACTCGCACGCGGCCTGCGGCTGAAAGAGGAGTTCCAGAGCAGTCGGGAGAGATAGTGGTGGGGGGAGGGCACGGCCCCCCCCATTATCACTGTCTGTCAGTGTCCGCCGAAGCCCCTCCCATGTAATTAGGCAATGTCAACACGGCTGCTGCTCGGCAGGGCGGCCCGTGAATAGTAGCAGTCTCCTCTCGGATATCGGTCCTCAGCTTATCAGCCACTCATCACAATAGGCCATTATCTGCTGCCAGTTTAGCCCACTATAGCCACCACCACCACCCTCCCTCCCCTCTCCTCTCCACCCCCCACAGACCGTGCAGCCAATGTCTCCGTGGCTGCGTCCTGCGAACGCGCACACACACACACACTGCCTCTCCCACGAGCCGGCCTCTGTGAATGGGCAGCAGTAGCAGCAGCAGCGCTGCAGTGAAAAGGAGCGTGGTGAGGCTCAATGCGTTTCCAAGCGCGCTCCGACTCGCCGCGGAAGAATGCGTGGATGCACCGCCCCCCCGATTCGGCGCACGCAGATGCACGCAGCCCCCCCACCACCACCACCACCAGCAGCACCCCCCGCGGTGGCCAGCGGCCAGACAATCGCTGTCCCCACCCCCCTCCCAACTCCGGGGTCTCGGTGTGCCTGGGGGGGGCCCTCCGTGGAGGTGGGGGAGCCGTTGGCAGACACCTGAGTCCTGGCAGCTGCGCTGATTAGCAGTGCGAGGTGGGGGCGGGGGCGTTCCGCGGCCCGATGCATCGCCCGCACCTCTTCCAAATAAACACACACGCGCGCGCGTGCAGACAAATACACGGATAAATAAACCAACAGACGAGCGAGGGAGCGAGGGACCATTGCCGCTGTGGCGTCTTCGCCGTGGCCACCGCAACCCTCGCCGCCCGGATGATCGCCGAGTGACGGGTGGCGGTGGTGACACTTTTGGAACTTTGCTGAAAACCAAATCTTGCCAAGGGAGCAGCGTGACACGGCGCGAGGTGAACACTGTTTCTTGGCATCTGTGAGTGAGCCTCCTCCCCCTTCCCCCATCCTCCCCATCCCTCCCCATCCATCCCTCCTCCACCCACCTAATCACATATGCACACTGTGACTATGGGCACCAAGCTGTGCTCTAAGCTGGTATCTGATTTGTTTTTTTTATAGACAAATCAACTGTAATTAAAGGCCGTGTAAATAAAACGAGGGGCCCATTTTGAAACGTTTAATTCCACTGTGGCTGCTGTTGTTGTTTTTTCTTAAAGATGTGCCCGCTGGTGCTGTTGTCGGTTGCGTTTCCATCTCTCACAACTTTGCCTTTGTGTTGCAGTTGCAGTAATTGGCTTTGTGTTGTCTACCGCAGCGACACAAGTAGCTCGAGGCCGTGCCAACACCGTGCCAAGACCGTGCCAAGACGGCACCCGGCGCCAGAATGTCCGCTCCCAAGTCACGGCGCGACCCTTTTAACAAGACGCGGTGGCTCGCTCCCTTGCCAAGGTAACGATCTTAATTTTAATTGGGTACCGGGCCGCTTTTCCTTCTGACCAACACCCCGCTGTCACGTGCGTTCGGCACGGGTACGTGTGTGCGCTCGCGTGCGTGCTCGTGTGCAGTGTTCATTTCAACACAATCACCGAGGTGTCTAGAGGCGCTACGGGCTGTCCTGCGTAATTAGCGGAGCGTGGAGAAAAGCGTTAAGTCGTGACTACTATTTTCATTGTTAATTTTTTAGCGAGTTTTTCAAAAGTGTAAATATTGTCGGAGTAATTGTCCTGAGTGATGTGATATTTGTTTTTAGAATCTGACACCTCTGCTGACAATGCAACGCTCTCTATCATGGGCGTGTGTAACGGGTCTGTAGTCGCGCGTGCGTGCGCGCACACACGCGTTTAATTCCACTGCTTAAGCAAACAAATTCTTGATGGGATTTGTTTTTTTTTGCTTTGCACCTGCAGCCTAAAACAAATGGAAAAACGTAAAATTTAAACAGCCGCTGAAATCCTTCTGCCAAACTCACAAACCCAGCACCCCAGCTCTCGCGTGAGCGAGTGGCTGTCCTCCGCAGGTACCGGTAGCCTCTGAGATGCAACGCGCGTTGCAGAGCGTTGAGCGTGAATACATTGTCCAGCCATTTTTGGATTAGTGATCCCGTACAGGGCCCACGGCCATTCAGCTGGAATGCGCCCGATCGCGTCAGATCTCGAAAGGAAAGCGGGCTTGAGCCCGGACAGCGCTCGGATGGGAGACCACTGCTTGTGGAACGGTGCTATAGGCTGCTGTTGCGGGGCTACGTTGTCAGCAGAGGGCACTGCGGAAAAATCCACGCACAGGCGGGCGTGGAGCAGCCCGTATCGTGATAGACAGGCATGCTTCGCCATTATTGAGGCTCATTGGTGGGCTATCCCCACGGCGAAATCTTACCTGGATCTGTCTTGGCCAGTGACCCGGTAAAGATGTCGGTACCCGGCACACCGCATCCAGTATATATATATATATCCCTCTCACTATGGCTATGGCTACCACTGCCACCCTAACGCAGTCTACCAGCCACACGTGAAATATTCAGCGAGAGATGAAACCCAGCACACACCTTCCTCGCCACGATGCTCCGTCAACCCGGAGCCCACGGTTTAACACAAATACGTGACTTGTGTAGCCCTGACAGGTTGCTCAGCGTTCGAGCGAGCGGCTCGAAATCTAGAAGCTCGCGAGTTCAAATCCTGGCTGGGGGTTTTACTCGGCCCATCGTTCCTCTAGAATCCATCAAATGAGTTTCACTTTGTGTGGAAGTCTATAGCGGTTGTCGTTTCTCAGCCCCGCTGTCGGAACGTGGAATTTCCCCCGCTGGCTCGGGGCTGTAAACGGAAGATGAGCAGCACCGCCTCAATCCTCATTTGAGCAGCAGGAGATCACCCAGATTGAAGGTGATATTTGTGGGAGCTGCAGGGAGAGGCTGCAGGGAGGAGCATCTCCCTGTTCGTCTGTGCTCGGAGCGCGAGTTACGGGGCCATTACTCGGGAGACGTGGGGCGACGGGTTCTCGCGCTGGACTCATCGGCACAGAAAGGACAAGGTGGCCACTTCTTTGTCTCTGTACGTTCTGGCGCGCGCGCCGACGCGCCTGCCCCGCCGTATTCCCCCAGAGCGACGTAGCAAGTGGCGAGTCAATATTTCTCGCGGCTGGAGCGGAGGGTAAACTGTCAAAACAACGCGGCGACACATTGATCTCTCCGCCGCAGAAATAAACTGTTTTTACTCGCCGAGACTCTAAGAGCTTTTATCGACCGCGGAATATTGATAGGGGGCCGGAGCGAGCAGTCGTTGCGGAATACGCAAAGTGCATTAACACCACGCGTGCGGCTTTAATCATCGCGTGTACGGACGCGGGAGGAGGGGGGAGGTGCTAGAGGGGGTGCAGGAGGAGGAGGAGGGAGAGCCGTGGCTCCCCTTCTCCGCTGAAAGGTTCCGTCGATTTGGTGACTTGCGTGCCGGGACGGCACTATTATCTAGGCTTTCATCACGGGTGCTGGTCACGGGTCCCAAGGCCCCAGCACACCAAGGCGCCAGCAACAAACAGCACCGGTGAATTTATCACGACTGCGAGAAGAGACGCGAAATAACGGCGGGGGCGGCGGGAGAGTTTGTCCGTGGACGCGCGACCTCTGTGCGTTTTCAAGTTTGGTCGTTAAAATGAACGGGCGGGTGTTGCTTGGCGAGGCCCCTGCCTCCGTGTGCCGGGTGTCCCCCGGAGAACCGTGAGACAGATAAAACGTCCGTGCGGAACCCTCGTGTGGAGCAGAGACGCGGGCGGCTCGTTGGGGCGAAACGTCTTGGAGCTCTGCGCGGCGATGCCGCCTTCGTGCACGGCAAACGGGCACGTGTGTGTGCGCGCGCGTGTGCATGTCTATGCATGTGTGTGCGTGTGTGGGGAGCGCTAGTGTAGCGGTTAGCGCGCTGCATTGTGAACTTGGCGACCCGAGTTCCATTTTCGCTCACGGAACACCCCGAGGTCGACTTAACTTCAAATGAGTACCTGGTGCGATGTGTAATCATCGCCACTCGGGAGACGAAGGCTGCCGGGCGTGGTGCTGGCCACCCACCCCCTCGTGCACCGTACCGGCCTTCATAGGTGGTCGCTAACAGCACTTGCCCCAAGTCTGTTAAGGCGACACGGGGATCTTTGTGTGCGTGTACGTGTGAGTGCGTGCGCGCTCGTTTGTGCGTGCGTGTGCGCATGCGTGTGCGCATGCGTGCGTGTGCGTGCGTATGTGCGTGTGTGTCCGTGCGTTTGTGCGCGGTATAATTTAAATTCCTATTGCAACCGCCTGTACTGCCGAGACGTGCAGCCAGCAGCTCCCAATGGGAAGGTCGCGAGTTTAAATCCTATTTGGGGGGTTAACTCGGCCCATCTTCAACATCGGCACCGCTTTTTTCGAAATTCTACAGTGCTCGTCCAGTGGAGAGACTCGCCCTCGCCATAGGCATGTTTAATTTCCTGCACTGGGTTGAGGCCTGTAAACTGGAGATGGGCTCCACCTTGATGCTCACTGAGACACGCACTCACTCTGACTCTTGATGTCGTTGTCTACTGCGTGCCTGCTGTTCCTCCTGCACAGGTTTTTTTGTGGTTGTGTTGTTCGCGCTATAAGGCAGATGTGGTTAATTGCTCCGCACCAGAGCTGGGATATCCGATTACTTAAGTACTGTAATCAGATAACACGCAAATAGTTTGGGGGGGGGGGAAGTCTCACCTCTGTTCCCACGTGGTGCCGCTGGACGGGAGGTGATAGGCAGGGCTTGGTGACGTCATCGGCACATAGCTTGCATTGTGGGGGGGTTTCCTGCCTTTGGGAATTTAAAGAGGTCTGAGTAAATGACCACAAAGAAGTAGGTGATTGTGATTGTTAGTAAATCGACCGATCATCTGAACTGTACTGCAGACGAAATCTCTGAAGGGAAAACCGATATTGACATTGGTCCAACAAAAGTCAAAATCTGAAATGTTTCTATTCACATTGAGCACCCATTCACAAGTCTGGGTGGGCGGAGGGTTGTGAGGAGGCGCGCCGCGTTGTTTGAATTGCCGCTCCAGGAGAGTTGTAATCGAACCGGCGACCTCTGGATCGCACGTCCTGTGTGCTGCTGCTGCTGCTTCTTTCCTACGGCTGATGTGGATGTAAATACGAAGGAGACATCGCAGCGATGCACTCCGCTGCTCCTGATGCGCTTGTCTGGCTTGACCGGTGCACCGCCGCTGCTGGCCTGCCGCAGCACGGGGGCGGTGGCGGCAGCGTCCCGCGCGGGACGCGCTGATCGACGGCGGTCTGCGATGTCTCGTGAACTCTCACGGCATGATCGTGAGAGTTCAGCCAGGTGACCCCCAGATACTGCCAAACAAAGCCAATGCGTTGCACATTCTCCCGTCACAACCCCCTCTTCATAAAGTGATATTTAGCAGCAGAGTTTACACCGTGTTATGAATGAACGCGGACGTACAGTTCAACAACGGATTGTTTTTCTACGCTGCCCTCTGCTGTCTATTACATAGCCCCACCTAGCACCAAGCTGCACTGACCAGGCTGGGGAAGTATGGTCAAACAACCTGCTCCGACCCCGTACGGTGTGGACAAAGTCCTTTGTCCGGCCGTGGATCGCCATGAGAGCCGTGCACCGTTAACGAGCCGCCGGTCAGCGTGGGACACCGGCCCCTCTGCGGGTCTCACGCTGCAGCTAAGCAATCTCATGTCGTGCGCAGCGAGCTCCGTCTATACCTTGCTCCAGCTGCGCCCCCACAACATTTACACCGGCACCGCTCGCGGGCCACTGCTCTGACCGTCGCTGCCAATGCAGCCTTCAGACGTTCGCCGTGGATTACGTCACTGGCTCGGGTTGGACACTAGGACCCGGTGGCCTAGCGTGGTTGTCATGGGCTTTTGGTGCAAGGGATGAATGGATTGATGGATGGAATACGGCCCCCCCCCCCCCCTCCTCCGTTCAAATTCCTGCTTATTCGTAGCCCGGCACCTGGGCACCTCCGGCCAATCGGGCCCGGTGTGGTTACACCGGCAGCACACTCGATAGCTACGCCACTGCCTGGACACCACCTGGGCTTGCCCGCCCAGCCACGCAGCTCCTGGACACCGTCTACCTTGCTTGCGCTCCGTCTTTCACCGCTGACGCCCGGGGAGGAGCCTCCTGTTGTTGAGTCGGTCTCCGCGGTTCGGGCGGTTACGGCGGTGCCGACGAGGACGCTGGCGACGAGCCGTGGCCTTGAGGAGGTGCCTCCTGCCGTCAAGTGGCGCGGTCGAGCCGTGACCTTGGCTTGGAGAGCGGCCGCGGCGGCGCCGCCGTTTGGTAAAACAAACGCTGTGTTGCGCGTTGAACACCGATGTAAAAAAAACGCCGCGCCTTGCCGCACCGCCTCTAATCGCACCACACCACGCCACACCGCGCCACACCACACCATGCCGCACAGCGGCGCGCCATTCCTCTCTCCTC